AGGAACTTCTAAGCAGAGGTCACATATTCTCTGAGAGTGTCAGCTCCCCTTGGAGTGGGCTAAGACAAATCCAGAAGGGGATGAAGATGTCAGTGAAGAAGGAGGCAAAATTTGCAAAGATGTTGTGTCAGAACTTGGCCTGAGATTTCCACTTCACTGAGGAAGCCATGTTGTCTTGAGCACCTGAACCCTGTGTCTCCTATCCCCAGGGAATATCCATAGCAATAATATACCACAAGCGGGAGGGATGCTCTCTTCCCAGCTAAGTCGCATTATCCACCACTTCAGAACCTATCTGCTGATGCCCCAAGGAGGACATATTTGGGGCTTTCCCTCTCTGTTCCCAAACAGGAGTTGTAGTGACCTCCTTTCTGCCTCAGTGTTTCAGGTCTCAAAGCTCATGAATGCTGCTGGCTAACCCACCTCTTAGCAGCATTTCCCTTCTGCAGCCTCTGTTCCAGTCCTTGCCATATTCACACCGCAGGGAGGGTTTCCAGTAGAAAGTGGATACGACTCAAGAAGGAGGTTCATCACTCCGGAAGGGTTAAAAATTAATGAGCAGCAAGAAGGGGAAGCATACAACTAAAGTTAGTTCCTTGTTTGTTTTCCAGCTTCCTGCTCTGAAGTCAAAAAAAAAAAAAACTGCTTTCTTCAATAGTTAGAGTTAATTATTAGTATGAATTGTTTGCACTTCTTCCTGCTAGAATATCACAGAATCACTGACCCGGTGTCACTCCCTTATGCCTGGGAAGGAGGCAGCTGAAGGGAAGTAAGAATAAATCAGCAAAGATACTGAGCAGAATTGCACTGCTCCTGTCTGAGGTGACCACACTGCCACAGGCTCAGACTGACTAACAGAGGGGAAATGCAGAGAGCTGGGTAAAAGCGAAAGACAAAGAAAACAGTCCCTGCCAATAAGAGGGACTTGAAAGGAGCAAGATTCAGTTCTGGGATTATGATTGCAAACTGTAAAACGTTTCTCCTTTTTTGGCTTTGGTCATGTCAAGGCCTTCTCCCCCACCTAGCTCCTCTTTACCTCTTCTCCTTAGGATCCTTTTCTCAGTCCTAATTCTTCCACCACCACTTTACCTAAAAGCAGTAACTTTCTACATATCCCGAAAGCCTCACCATGCACCTTTCATGGCTAGTGTAAAGGACTGACCATATCACTGAATCACAGGTCATCATGGAGACCAGTTACATATGAAGTTCCTCAAGGTCTGTCCTGAGCCCTATCCTGTATAATAACTTTATCAATGATCTGGAGGATGCAGTAGAGTGCACACTCAGGTCTCTGGATGATGTCAAACTGGGGAGACCAGTTGATAACACTCAAGGACAGGGCAGCCATCCAGAGGGACCTGGACAGGCTAGATGAATCAGTTAGCAGGAACCTCGTGAAATTCAACAGGGATAAAAAACAAGCCCTGCCCTGGGGAGGAAGCACCCCTGCAACAATGCACCTGGGGTCTGGGTGCCTGGGGAGCAGCTCAGCAAAAAAGGCCCAGGGGTGTCCCAGTGGGCAGCGAGCTGGACATGAGCGAGTAGCGTGCCCTGGTAGCAAAGGCCAACAGCACCCTAGGCTGAATGAACAGGAGAAGAGTCAGAAATCAAGGAAAGTGATTATTCCCTTTTACTTATCACTCATTAGGCCATGTATGGAGCACTGCATATAGTTTTGGACCCCTCAGTATGAGAAGACATCAGTGAATGGAAGCAAGTTCAGTGAAGGGCCACCGAGATGGTTTGAGGCTGGAGCACTTGCCCTGTGAAGAGACATTTCCAGACTTTGCATAGTCACCTACACTCACGCACGTCTCAAAGCAAAATGCAGTGGTTGCCAGTGCAGACACTTTCCTTAACCCCAGCAGGAGAGAGAAGAGAGAGATAAAGTATGACAGAGGGAGAGATAGAAAGCAAGTGAGAACTTCTACAGAGCAAACATCCCTAAGACCCGTCTGCCTCCATTTTGCCTCAGCCCTGTTAGAGGTTTCCTTCCCAGCCAGTCCCTCGCTCTTTCTCCCACCTTGCTCTCTCACACGCTCTCCTCTCCACATTCCTAGAACCCTCAAAGCCCCAACACCCCCTCAGGGGACAGCCCCAGCTCTGCCCCCTTCACTTCCCGCACAACAACGACTTTCTATGAGCCCTGCAAGCCTCATCCAGCCAGTGCACATTGGTGGCAACCCTTCTGTTTCGCAAGGGTGGCCCCACCACTGAGTGATAGACAGTTAACAGGAGCAGTACATAGCAACAACCAGCAGAGCCCATGGGATTTGTTGACACTTCCCCAAGGACTCCCACCCACTTTCCTGACTCATAAATTCCCTCTGTGCCAGCCGTCAGCCCATCACCTCTATGCAGCAAGACATAGAGTGGATCCCCACTATGCATCCTCTCATCCCTGCCTTCCTCTTCCTGCTGGGATCCTGCTGCCTTCAAGACGTGGAGGCACGACAATATGCCTCCATCCTCACTGTGCCCAATGGAGGCCCCTGGGGTACTTGGGGGAAGCCACATTTTTGCCCCACAGGCTATGCTGCGGGATTTGAACTGAAGGTAAGGTTTCACTGCTTTTCCAAAGGGGAAAAAGAAAAAAAAAACCACCATGAAATTAGGTAATTTCATTCTAGTCTCAACAGGGCTGGTAGCAACACTTTGTCCCATTGCAGCAGCGTTTCCATTGTATCTCTATTGTTCATGCAGGCTTATCAGCAAGAAATCTCTAGTGTAGACTAGTTCTCCAGACTCCTTGCCAGTGAGTGATCTCTTACCAGGGGTGTCCATGAGATATGAATAGGCCTGGGATCTGTGCTCTACAGCACATTCCCAAAGGTCTGGGACAACTTCCACCTCTAACTACTCCAGCTCTTTTGGGTCAGTACACACAATGAGAGTGTGGGTATGCCCTCAGGGCAGCAGCCACCAAATGTTCCTCTGTGTCCAGAACTGCTGCTCCGCAGTTCTGAGAGAGCAGAGGTAGGCAACAGCAAAAAGGGGCTCACTAGAAAAGGCTATGGACCTGCCTTACAGCCCCTTCCCTCAGCAGTGCTAAGATCTATCTGGCTGCCTCTCACAGAGCTTCCCGACACTTCTCCCAGGGTTCATCTTATCTCTTCTTTTTAATGGAACAGGGATTTGGTGGCACTCATTCACTGGTGATGCTCACTGGTTTGTCCGCTCTTCTAAGGTGGAGCCTTACCAGGGATTCTGGATATTTGGTGACGATACAGCTCTGAATGGCATCCGCCTGGTCTGCACAGATGGCACAATCGTTGAGTCCTCGGTGGGGCCGTGAGTAGCATTTGCTTCCTCATGCTTCCATCAGGGCAGCAGCTTTGGTGAAACATCAAGGGAAACCAGTGCAATGGTTTTTCCATAACTATCCCAAAACCCTTGTGAAGGTGGTTCCCGCACCACACTTGCTCCCTCTAGCCACAAAGTGTGAATGTCTTAGGGTAAAGATCTTGTCCTAGAGAAGGGCATAGATCTTGAAAAGATCTTGAACCCAGGAAAGGGAATTGCAAATATACAGATCTTTAGCCTGTACTTTCTCTTTTTCCTCAGATGCCCACTTGGAGAAGGACATTGATGTTAAATAACAGGGACAAAGCAAGCAGTTGAACTCCCCAAGGAGTCCTGTAGCAACAGGGCAGTCCAGGCTTGCTAATAGCTGGGTATCTAGGGGGAAAGACAAAAATACCCAAGGGAAGTAGAGTGAAACAGGTGCTCTTAGAAATCTACTGTCCTTCTGTCGGTCCCCTGCCCTAGGACCACCAGGGTCCCAGTTGAGGTGCAGGTTGCTTTCAGGCGAGCAGAGGCTGAACACATATCAGGGAGGTGTTTTTCTTCTCTGGCAGGTGGGGAACCTGGACTAAGGCCCAGCTCTGCCCCAGCAACAAGATGGTTTCCTTCTCGCTGAGTACGGAACCACAGCAGTATCTGCATGACGACACCGCGGCCAACAACGTGATGTTCCTCTGTTCTGATGGAACACAGCTGGAGGGCCAGGGACTTTCAGGGGGTCACTTCGGCCCATGGAGCGACAGCTGCCACTCTAAAGGCATCTGTGGGCTCCAGACCAAGGTGGAAAGACCCCAGGGAAAGGGGGATGACACAGCTCTCAACGATGTGAAATTCTACTGCTGTGACTAAGTCTAAGCTCTCCACTCCAACATTTACAATGTGATCCACCATTAAACCTTGAATTTGTGCTTGCACAAGGGGCAGTGTGCAATTTTCTCAATCGAGTTCTGCCACGGGGTAGCGGGATGCAGGGGCTGCCGGACGCTGGGGGTTTCTTTCTGCCCCAGCCTGATGGATGCAATGTTACTGCAGCTCCCAGCTCCAGTCAGTATCGAGGCTTAGCGTGTAAGCCCAGTAGGTGCATGTGTGCACATAAGCATGTGCACACACGCACGCACGCATGCAAACACACACACACACACACACACACACAGATACAACCCCTATAGTCAGCCACAGATGAAAAACAGACAGAGAGCAGCGCCTTTAGCAGCACCCATGTATACACATACACAGCACCCACACATCAACAGCACAGACGGCCCGATCCTGTTCCTCTTCAGCTGATCAGGATTCACGTGTGCTAGTGAAATATATACTCACTCACATAGAACTGATCTCCCCAGTAGCTGGCCTCAGCCACCCAGTCTGTCCAGCAGCTTGCATCAGCCCCTGATCTCCTCAGGTGCTGGCTCCTGGCCCCTCGAGCCCCTGAGGTTCACGGTCCTGCTGTAGTCACTGCTACTTGGCTGTCTTTCCCGGCTAACTGATGAGTCTGGTGTGAGGTTTGCTAGTGCTCTCATACACAGGCTCAGGCCAGAGTGCACCCACACAGAAAACAGAAAGAATGTTGTTGTTGTTGTTGTTATTACTCGTACTATTATTATTAAATAGTTATTATGGTTATTAGATAAGAATATTCAGTAAGCATATAGGGCAGGCTGCAGTGATCAAGTGCAGGGCTTGGTCAGGCAAACAGGCTGGTCAGCCAGCTGTTTACCCACAACTAGGCCCTTTTATCTCCTTTATTTTCTCACATTTGTTCCTCCCTAGTCCACCTTGATCCCTCCCTCTCCCTGCCTTTGATCTATCCCCTAAACACCCCATGATCAGTCATGATCATTCCCACAATCATTCCCATAATCCCCTTAAAACATCCCGTAATGAGTTCTAGGCAAACTGTGTGCCTCACCTCCAGCCTGCTTAGCCCAGCATCTCAGCATCACCTCCAGTTGCCTTGTCCAAAGGAAGTACCAAGATTCTTGAAGATTTTTATTTCCTGGGTTCCAGGAGTTAATTTGCAGAGAAGTTAGAAATCTACTGTCTTATAGGTACCTCTCCTGAACCCACCATCACCTCCTTCAGCACCAAGAACTCCTGCTCAGGTTTTCTCTGGAGTTCTTATTTTGTCCTACTTTCTTGTTTATTAGGCAAGATTATGCATACAAGGACTCTGACCAGGATAACAAGTATGGGACAGAAAATAGCTACAAACTTACACCTCGCAGGGTACTATGCAGGAACATTTTCTACTTTACAAGTTGTTTGGAGAATCTGTGCACGTCAGAGAGGGCCACAAGCTCAAGGAGGACTCAGGGTGGAAGGGAAGAAACTGGTAGGATGAGGTAAATTCCAGAGTGAATTGCAAAGATTTCAACAACAACCTTTCCTCAGTATCAAGACTATGGAGAGGAAGCAGAAATCTGAAGAAGACACAGGAGTGAGGGAGAACCTCCTTAACGCTATAAAGTTCACTGCTACTTTATACAGTCACATATTTGACATTTTTTTCTTTGGTATTCTCTTTGAAAGTAATTCCTCCTAAGGAAGATTGTGATTAGCCCTTAGTAGTACTTGTGATCACCAATTGCTATGCACACACTGAATATCTGCACATACGATCACGGCTAATTCAGTGTTGTGTTTGTTTAACCACTGCTGGGAGTCCAGACATTTCAGTGGTTTTCAAAGCATTAACAGTGTCAACATTTGCCTTTATACATCCAGATGGATGATCTGCCACTTTGCATGCAACCAAGGGAAGCCTCACAATAAGTATATTTGAAAGTACATTTAACCCTTTCCACTTGGCCTCTGAGAATAGGTTTTGCAGTTTCAAAAGCTTATGTTTTTATTATCCATTCAGTCAGTCAAGTACTTACCTTGTTCCAAAACTATATTCTTTAGCCCCAGAGAGCCCTTACTGCATTAACTCAGCTGAGCGCAACTGAAATCCAAGAGAGGACCGTTGTGTACATGAACTGGCGTTGATACTCCAGTCCAAGTCAGCTTGTTTCCTCTGAGAACATCTTTAATGAGGCATTTATTTATATTTTCTCTGAAGAAGAAATTTTTCATCTGATGTTATCTGATATTTTTCATTTTAGTAGGAAATTTCGTTTTGCTTCCACAAGTGTGTCTCTGACCTGCAATAAAATCCGTACTGAGCACCAAGTAATTTTTCCATAAATCCAAAGGAGAGTACAAACAGCTACCTCCCTTTGACCTTTCCATGCTCCTTTTCAGAAATAAGCCCACTCTTTGAGTAACAAAAGAAAATTTCTTGTGTTGTGGTTCTGCAGGGTCATAACAGAGTGCTGCCTATGTCCATACAATTAGAAAGGAGGTTAATGAATTGCTAAAATGCATGTTTCCAGGGGGTAAAGCAGACAGAAAGCATATTTAACTGGGCTGAACAGTTTATTAACCGAGATTATAATAGATACTTTGCACCTTGTCGAGTGTCATTTAAGACGAATTGCAGTAATTTCTTAGCTCAGGAAAGTCCATTAGTCAAAAAAGGGCTGCACTCTCTGCAGATACAAATCAGTATCGTCCCTCATTACTTTTGGCCTGAATATTTTTTCTTTTTTTTTTCTTTTTTATTATTTAACCTTTTACAGCTTCCCTCCGATTTTTCCAGCCAAAAGTAGAGATCAACTTGAACCATGACTTCATATACATACTTTCTAGTGCTCATTGCTGTGTTTGAGATTTCCTTGTTTTGTCCAGCTTCACCACAATGTCTAAATGGATATTTCCATGGAGCGCAGATGTATCCCTTAAGCAGGTTGCAGAAGCTGATTGAGGAATAATCATTTATTAGATCACTTACGAAAGCTGCTATCCCATAGCAAAGGAGAGAGAAGGCACATATGGCACCCATGCCAGTTTGCCAATACATATGAATAGGTTCCTTCATACATCTATGAAGGCGACGATTGATCCCTTGCTGAAGTCTGGAGATGGCCTTGCTGGACACCATCTGCTAGTCATACTGCAGGCTCCCTGGTCTTTGGAAAGGTCAGCCCCAACATATTTCCCACCTGCAGAAAAGCCATTCCCCTTTCCTGTCAGAAGTCTCCCACAGAAGTTCAAAACTCCCGTATTTCTTGTAAGCCTGAAATCCTTCCCCCCAGTACAGTCAGTGGCCACAGCTTAATCGTGTTTAATGAAGCCACCTGTCTTTCTGTGTTGTCCCATCCCTGACAGCTCAGCAAACTCAACAGCGACAAGAGCATCACCCGTGATATCGGCAGATACCTGTAGTCAGACTGGATAACATAGCATCACCGTTAAATTGCCACTTTTTGCACACGTGTGGAGCTTTCATAACCATTTCAATAGCAAACATTTATTCAAACTTTACCAGGATATTTTAGCAATGGTGATCAGAGTTTCTCTGTCTCAGCTATGATGTCAATGTACTTCGTGGTATTTGGAGAGGAAGGTGTTTCTCTTCCCGCTATAGGAGATAAAAGATATTCTTTGAAAGCTTCCCAGGACCAAGCTGCAATGGTGATACTGTTGCAGAAGAGTCTTAGAGGGAAGAAAAAACCTAGACCTGGCATTCTTCTTCTCTCTGGCATGATTTCGATATACATTAGGAAGGTGGAGAGGGGGGGAATCTAGCAAGAAAACTGCTATTCACTGTGTAAACTATTCACTGTTTCTCACAATGGTTCCAAGCCTCAAATTTGTAGAAACATAATCTTGTTTTACAAGAACAAAATTCCAAGAAGGTGTTACAATTTTAATGCTGTGGTAAAATCTATGTCTTGATTGCGGTCGCAGCACATATTCCAGAGGTTCGTTATGCAGCTATTTTTTCCTGATGCATCACAAAGGCCTGTCAGGAAACAACTACTGTTTAAGCACCTGATTCCCCTTCTTCTCTAAATGTTGCTTGTCTTCTATAGATTGTCTAAATGTACCTCTGTCATCTGTAATACGGTAGTAGGCCTAAAAATTACTTAGTGTCATCTTGCATCTTCCACTTAGGTACAGAAGATGATTTAAACCTAAATTGACGCCTTTATTATATCTCTTTCTTTTTGTTATTTGTAGCACTCTCAGATATTGGCTCCAAAGAATTACAAGGGGGAGAAAGAGCGTAAAGCAGTTCTGACATTGGTGTTATTTTCTTGGGCTGGAAAAATCCCCCTACAGATTTCAGGTTTACAATTTCAGTATAATCTGTCATTAGCATTTGCTGTACTAATTAAGCAATCTATAGAAATTTCACATGCTGCAGTTCGGTAGGATCTGGTGGATCTGGTTTCCAGGCTAGACCGTCAAAAACCTACACAATGAAATAGCCCTGTTTTGGCATTACCCGCTCATTAATAGCTTGTGTTCCAAAGCTAAATAATAATTTAAAAAAAAATCATGGTCTAACAGGAAAGAAAGTCAGTACAAATTACCAGTATCTGTGTCACTAATGCAATCCTTGAGCAAGGCAGACAAGGTATCTTGTGCTGGTCTAGTAGGCAGTTACCAGCCAGCCAGGGTCTGCTCTCAGGTGCCCCGTGCTGGCATGCCTCTCTGGGTGCTACTGCTCCAGCACTGCTTTGGTCTTCTGTGTATTAATATGATATACCTGGAATCATTTCCTTTTCCTTACCTAGAACAACTTCCTATCAAATTGTAAGGTTTCTAATCCCAGTGCACTTACCATCTATCTTACTTTATAGTGTACTGCTAGGGCATGTTGTTTGTGTAAATGGACTTTGATTTATTTATGTCAGTTTTACATACATACTAAAAGATCCAGAACATATATTTATTTTGCTGTCCAATAAGCATGAAATCCCAAGTCATCTTACCGAGTAAAATTCTTATGAAAAACA